AAATCGATTATATGTGAGAAGCAAATTTCAAATCTTTTTTAATGTGTATCATTTTTTAACTAAATCAAATTAGTTAAAAATTTTGATTTTCTATAAAAATTGTTGTCATAAAATACGAATGAGCAGTGGTGTAACAAGGGTATGGTAAACTGTACCTACGCCAGGGGCGCAAATTGTAAACGGGCGCAAAATTGTGCAAAATTCGTATTTTTATCCTACAATCAAATCGAAAATTTTCCATTATACTTTTTGAAATATGTAGATGTTTTTTATTTGTACACACTTCGTGTGAATTTAATGATTAAATTATGAAAATAGCACAAGGGAATTTAAATAAAAAATCTTATATGAAGAAATTATCGATGAATTTGCTAATCATAAATCGAGAAAAGCAAATTTTCAAAGTTTAAAATTAACACTGCAATAATAACTTATAAAATTAGTAAAATTAAAGGTTAAAAAAATATATCGTATCATTAAATTTTAATTGGTTAAAAAGCGTATTTTGTTGTACAGTTTGCTAGGAGTGCTAGCGAGTCTTCCTACGCCACTGCGAACGAGTGATAAGAAAAATTACAGAAAAATATAATAATTGAAGGCGAACGGACGTGTATGATGATGTATATATTATTTTTTTTTTATCAGTATTAGTACCAATAATAAGCGGTAACATCGCGGTCAATGTTGAATGTAATAAATTGGGCTTTTTGTCGGGTCCATACTCAGTGTAAAATCAAATAAAACACAAGCGTAACTTTCAAAACTCACGGGCAGGTGTTAAAGGACTACAAAAAAGTTGATTGCAAGTGGATCCGGCATTAGGTTATAAAAAAAAAAAAACCACAATTATTAAGGATTCGCCTGATTTAAATATTACCAATAATTTTACTTGTAAATGTTTAGTCAGAATTGAAGAAAAAATATGAGTCCCCCCCCCCCCTAGAAGTAAGTATAAATACGCCCCTGATGACATTTTAGCGTTAAGTATCGTCAAATACAACCAAACAAGTGTTAAGTTGTGATCAAGTAATTACTAAATAAATAATAAATAAAATAAACTATACGAGTTTTTCTTTGTAATGGACCTATAATACGAAATGAAAACAAATCTCGTTAAGTATTCGATGTATCAATCCTGAAATCAAAGTTTCTATAATTCCGGATGGTTTTTTAAATTTTATAATTGTCTAAGATTTAAATGGCTCTGTTTTGGTAACAGTAATTTTAGAAAATTTAAAAAAGCGTTTCACTGGTTTGGAAAAAATGGTCGGACAAGTATATGAAGGTGGTGCAGTTGCATTTAAAATTGAATTGGGGTTCAGTTAATGTCATATGTTTCTAAGAACCTAATAGTGCATTGTACTGCGCACTCATTATATTTGACCATTAGTGATGCATGTAAAATTACTGCCGTAAGAAATTGCGTTGAAAGTATTTGAAGTATTTACACTTTTTCGGAGCTCAGATCAGCGAATTAGAATTTTTAAAAAATGTATACGAACATAAAATACTTTTTCGTCCAATATTGAAGTGACACTTATTGCTATATGTGAAATTAGATGGTTTTTAAAACATAACTGTGTTTAAACGGTTTGAAGAAATATTTATTGCAATTTTTAATGCATTAGAAAACTTAGAAAATTCAGCGAATAAAGAAATATAAACTACAGCTCATAAGCTTTTACGAATTATATAACTATATCGAAAATTTTTCATTTATTTCACCTTATTAGAAAAAATATTTTTATTCACGCTTCCTCTGTGTAATTAACTACATGTTACATTATATTTGTTTTAAATGAAATGTGTATAAATTTAAATGATGAATTTAAACTTATATTTGAAGATAATCGAACAATACTTGACGAGCTAGGAGGTGATATTAAAATACCACGCAACCATAAAATAAAATAAATAAAAAAATAATCTGAATAACATACTATCAACTTCCACTTTAGAATATAAAATATCTAAAATATTCATAATAATAATAATATTATACAACGTTTTAATTATACTTGTATATTGACTCATCTGACTGACCGTTTCCTAAATCACAAAGAAATTAATTAACATTAAGCTAACATTAAAAATTTAAAACCATCCCTAAAATAAAACTCTAGGTACGTTCCTAACTAGATTATAGTTCAAGATTTGTCATAAAAAAAACTTTTGAATTTTAATAAAACATAAACAGAAGATATATCATTGTTCACGATGTAAAAATAAATATATAAATTTAAATTATATAAAAATTTAAACTTTTTACAACTCCCCTTAAATAGGCTTCCTGGGTATTTTACATGTCCTTATCATTAATAGTAGTTGCCTTATACCTCCAACATTTTTGGCAGAATATTGCTGAATCAAAACGAATGTCCTTTCCTCCCAATAGCGTTCTTATTAAATTCTTCAAATTTAAAATTTTTTTTCGATTCTGTTAAATTACACTTTTCATTTGATTATACTCGAAACGGTTATTTGCACTTCATGCGTTAATGCACAATGTCATATTTATAATTTTCAATAAGAGGGGACTCACCTTCTTGATATGGTTACTGGTTACGGTTGTACATTTTAACGATTTTATAGCATACATAAAACAAGTTTATGAATATGAAAATAATAAATATGAAAATATTGTATTATTATTACATTATGAGTCACGAACATTTATTAAAATTTAAAAGTTTAATTAAATTTAGTATACAGTTAAACTTGATTTTATTCGTGTCCATAATAGGTATATGATTGATCAAATTATAGGGCGTATGGTTACCTCATTATTTTATCTACCGTGGTTATACTTATATCAATTTAATGTATTTTATTAGAAATCAAAACTATTTTTTTTTGTAGGTATTTACAATTCATTTTTAATACTTTATGTACTTCCTAAAACTTATAGAAAAATTATTTAAATAAACAAAATGACTAACCAACGATCCAGCTTAGAAAATATACAAAATAAAATTTATTTGGAACAAGAAAATGCTTACAAAAATTCTTTAAAAAAACAATACTTTGAAATCGAATACTGGAAATGCAAAATTGAAATGATTTCAAACATGAAAAACCAAGAAACACAAAAAAAGAATGATCAACTAATTGAAATGGTCTGTATTCTAAATACAAGTAGTTCCTACCTAATAAATAATAATTATAATTTTTCCGTTTCTAAAGCCATATAGGTACTTAGGTTACATATTAATACATTTTTCTTTTACAAATTAACTAAATATTATTAATTATAAATAAGTAAATTAGGTATAACAATTTCAAAAAATGTATTAATAATGTTTCAAAGAATAAAAAAAATATGAAAAGTAGATACCAATTCAAGTATTAAATTATTTTGAAAAAAAATTAAAAACTTCTTAAAAATGTAGAATATTTGATGTCTTTATCAATAAAAAAAAATATATTCATATTTATTCACAATAATATGCAAATTATAATTATGATATTTATATGGTACTTACAGAAAAATCTTCAAGATGAAGTTAATAAAAAAAGAATGGATTATTGTGACTATGTACATAATTGTATACAAAATAATTGGTTAGCAAGTATAAAAAATAACTTTGAAAGTCTAAAACAAAAAAAAAGTAAATTATTAAATTATACCATTCAATTCAATAACCGCTTAAATATAAAAAAAATTAAGAAACTAACATGATTGTTTTTTTTTGTTCATACTATTTTAAGCTGCTAACTTACACATATTTTTTTTTAAATTAATCTTCACTTTATAATTTGTGCTTATTCAAAATGTTTAAAGAACTGGAAAATGAAAAAAGTAGTTCAAATATTTCAAAAATCTGTAACAAACTAGAGGATGAGTTAAACGAAATAAAATCTATTCTTGGAGGGTTAAATTTGGAAAGAGATCAAATTAAACAATTAACAGAGTAAGTAATTCAGGTATATCTATTAATGATAAACTTTAGAAGAACTAACATAATAATCATTATTATTTTATCCGACAATGATGGGCAACATATTTAATGTAATATTTTAACTATTGTCTGTTAAGTAAATATCTATCTATTTATAAATAGCATACTCAGTGGAATTTTAATTTTTAATACTTTTTAAAAATTAAATGTTGATTAAAATATTAGTATATAATTTTTCCTATTCATTTTCGAATTATAAATTAGCAAGAACACGAAAGTGCATATGAACTACAGTCTTGGTTATCAATTTATGAGCCAATATATTTTGTGTTATTATTTTGTATTAATTTACAGTATCAATCAATCATCATAAAAACAATAGCATTTTATTACTTGTATGAAAATAAAAATAAGTTATTAGTTTTTTTAAAAATCATTAATATCAATGAAAATAAATATAATATAATTTTCATGATTTTAAATTGAATCCTTTACAAAATTATTTGATTCCATTTATGTCATGTATTACTATATTACTATAATAGTTAATAACATGGAATAATTTATTAATACATTTTTGAATTGTTTATGATTTTATAGATTAACTAATACAATTAATAATATTGAACATTCAATTTATATATGGAATGATTATATTTCTAAGATTGAAAAAGGAATGTCAATGTAGAAATAATAACAACTAATATCATCAAACAAAAGATCTTTATTTTATTTTAAGATTAACTAAACAAATGTTATTTTAATGAATTGTAACAATGATAAATTATATTAACTACAACTCAGTCTTTTAAAACATACAATATGTATAATATATGTTAATTGTAATTGTAAGAGGATAGTAAAAAAAAAAATAATAATGATCATAATTTTTACTTTATTATTAATTAAACATTTAATATTATGAAAAAAATATACTAAATAGACATAATCCTTAAGTTATTTTAAAGATGAATACAAGATAAGTTATATAATAGTTACATAGTTAAATTAAGTAAAGGTTAAATTTAATATTAATGTATACTAATTTAGTATCACAAAATTCATTAATCAATAATTATTAATTTTTTTTAAGTTTGTTGATTAATTTGATAACTTAAATTTAAGTTGATTGATAAATGTTTTCAATTCAACTAAAATAGGAAATGGATTAGGAGAATTAATTCGTTTATTTTCAAATTCCATTACAGTATTTTCTAGTTCTTTTTTTATTGATGCTTCAATGTTTAAATGAGAAATATGTTTAACAGATGGCTGATCATTTAAAATGTGATTAAATTTATCTATCTCTAATTTAAGATTTTGATAAAACTCATAAACTATCCTTTTGCATTCACTTTCTTTTTCATTTGAATTATTTAAATTTGAACATCCATTTAGTTCTGATGAATTTTTTTCAATGCTTGATACCACTTTTGTTGAATTAATAATATCAAAAGTTATATCACAACTTTTATTAAAATTGTTATTTTGACAATTAAGTACTTCCTTGTTTTGAAGAAATTTATCAGAATCTAGTTTTTCTTTTTCATTGGTATTAGAATCATTAACTATATTGCATACTTTTAAATTTTCAGTTAAGCAATTAACATTAATTACATCTGATTTTACAGTCAAATCTATTTTACTACCTAAAATATTAGCATTTGCAATTTCTTCAATATTTTCATTGATGCTACTAATAGACTCAACATAACTATTTGACTCTTCGTTAATTGAATCTAAAATAATTTATAAATAAAAATGTATATCATAACATCGGATGTATAACAATAAAAAAAAAAACTTACCTCCAATACTAATTGAAGAAGAATCAGTAGTGGTCAATAATTGGTTGATGCGTTCAATTTCATTTTTGGCTTTAAAATAGTCTAAAGTTTCAGGGTCCATTAAATCATGTATGTAGTTTTTAAATATTTCTCGAAATTGATGAGTTAAAATAATAATTTCATCGTAAGTTTTGTTTTCTAGTTTATTTATAATAATATCATTTTCTTCGATTGATAAGTTAATTTTTTTATTGATACTATTATAAAGAGGTTTTAACCAAGACAAACAAGTATAACATATATAAGATCGAATAGTTTTCATATAGTTTTCATTTAATTCGAAATTTGCAAATAAATTCACTATCAATGGTCCTAAAATAAAAAACAAAATAAAAATAGATTCAATCACTAAACTATGTTAAATACCTTTAGGGAAAATCCATATAATCAATCTTGAAAGTAGTTTATTGAATTGTGATTTTGAATCTGTGTAAGTTGATTCATAGTTGTATGCAACCTCAAAACACTTAATTAAATATTTTTGAGCTTCTACCGTGAATAATCCAGTTTTTTTGTATTCTAAAGCTATCAAGCAAAATTGTCCTGCTATGAAAACAGTCATCTATAAAAAAAAAATTAAAATACATTTTATTTAAGTAAGATATTTAAATTAGAAGTCAAAAATTAATAATAATTTGATTATGATGTATTCAATATAATAATTTAATATTTATTAATTAGATGTAATCATTCATAAACATAAAAATGAATTCCATAATTAATGATATAATTTTTATAAAAATAACATGAATACTAATCTGTATTTAACAGAAAAACATAAAAGTTGAATTTTGAAATAAAAACTTTAATGTAGAATTGAATTTTTATGTTAAATATTAAAAATAATTTAGAAACAAATAGTTTATTTCACCTTTGGCATCAAAAGTGCAGTATCCGATATGAATTCTGATTCCACTGTTGTAACTAGTTGATTGTAATAATTAGGTTTGTATTCTACATGCTCAAGAATATGATTGAATATAGAAAAATTTTCCTCATTAACTGAAGAGCAAATCCAATTTTTAAATATAATATGAGTGACTTTGGTTTCTAATTCAAACATTATTTCATGAACACTAATCCACATATTTAAGTACTAGAAAAAAAAATGTAACGATATTAAAAATAATATTTAAGTTTAAAGTACACTTAAACATACGTCAAGTTTAGGATGATCTTTCATAAGTTCTCTAGCTTCATGCCATTTATGTTGTCTAAAATATTCTGTTTTCAATAAATTAATAACCAATGACTTTTCCATTTCTTCATCAATGTATTTAGCCAATTTGGCTGCTAATAATAACTCATTAACTTGTTTAATTTTTATTAGACAAGAAATAGCATTTCGTACATCACCAATACTTAAATAACTGAAATAAAAATTATTACTTATAATAATTACTTAAAAAACTTCAAAATATTTTTCAAACCAATGAGCAGCTTCTTTAGGATGTCCATGATGAACATTATATTCAGCCCACTTTTTAGTTATTTCTAATACAAGTTCATCATCTTGTTTTTCTTGGCTTTTAACAACTGATAAAGCTTCACGGAAAAGATTGTTTTTAAGTAGCATCATTGCTGCTTCTTTAATCTTTTTTATGGCTACTAAATATGTTGATGCTTTTGTAACATCTCCAACATCCTCTAGTTGGATTGCGTAAACATCACACATTTTTGACCATAATCTAAATACAAATAACAAGTATATGATTACATTTTTAATTAGAAAAATATAAAAATATTATACATACTCATGACTAATACTTGGAGCTACAGCTATCATCCAATCATTAATTGTTTTTGATTTAATTGCATCAGAAAAATAACCTTCTAAATTTTGGCCCCACATATTTATATTATTTACACAAGGAGTAATTTGATTTGAAGATTTTTTTTTCAACGCATTATCTGTAGAAAAATAATAAATTACATTTGTTTTTTACATTTTTATAAAGTCTATAAAAATTAATAGAACCAATACATATTTTATTTTATTCAACATTGTAAGTTAATTATAAGATAGTAATAATTAATATGGTTCATTTTTAAAATAATATTCAAATATTATCCAAAATAAACATTTTCAATGCAGTTAATACCAATTAGTATCATTCTTCAGATTACCATGTTCCGCACAATAAATATAGCAATTTATTATATTTTATCAGAGTTATTATAAGTCCTAGGAAATATATTAGGACTAGTTGGAATTGTATATTTACAACCATTTACCAGTTATTTCTAGATCATTTACAGTGATTAATTAACTAAATAAATTATTTATTTACTCTTCCTAAATACAAATAAAAGTATAAATAAGTATTCTACTTAATAATTAACGGTATCATAAAATTTGATGTAACACTTTTTTGTTATCATTTTTATTATAACATACTTGTTAGAAAAACTAATTAAATTATTTTAAAATTTTTTTGGTAGTATCTTTAGAAATGTACCAACGCGTTCAAAGTGTATGTTTAACTTCTTTTGAATACGCTAAAATGTATCAGAAATTATATCATACTAATCAAGATATATCTAAAAAAAGGAAATATTATTATATAAATAAATAATATATATAATATTATTACATTATTAATATTATATTATACATATATATATATTTTTTTTTTTTTTTGGGTGAATCGCGCCGCTACTTCGCCATTGCATGCAGTTCTGTTCTTTTTATATATATTTTCTGTCCTTCTCTGGTCAGTAAGTGTACTGGAATAAGTCCCGCAACCACCATTATTGCGACCGTGGAGACCGTCCTATATGCCAACGCCACTCTTAATGCGATATCTCTCTGCGGCCTTTGGATTATATTTGTATTGGTTTTATGAACTGGTGCGCCCTCTTAAACTGCAGCGGCATATAGTAATTGACTATTGACCATAGTCGCTAACAGTTGTCGTTTCCGCTGTCTTGAACCGCCTACATTTGGCATCAACCTTGATAGGGCCAATGATGTAAAGGATGCTTTCGCCGCGATCGTTTCCAGGTGCTTGTTGTATTTCAAGGCTTTACTTAGTTGGATTCCTAGGCAGGGCCATGGAGAGAGAAAACCGGGTCCGGGGGGTGTATCTTAATTTTTCTGCAGTATTTATTAAATTCTTATCATTCATTGTGTTTAATTTTTAATAATTTGTAGTCCCTAATTTCCGGGTCCGGGGGTATCATCTCTTTCCTTCCTTCTCGTCAGGCCTGCTCCTAGGTATCGTACTTTTTCCTTGAGTTGTATCGGAACTCCTCTGATCATGAAGATGGATTTCTCGTACTCTCTTTTAGACGTTTGCATTATAGCTTCCGTTTTCTGTATGGATAACTTAAGGCCGTTCGCTTTCATCTAACTCGCTCTAAGATTGCATTCATAGTTTCCTCTAGGATAGGTGTTGTAAGTCCTGATGTTACCACATCTACGTCATCTGCAAAAGCAACAAGTGTTGACGACCAAACCCTAGTGGTTTCTTCGAATTCCGCTTTGAGGAGATCGTCGTACATCACGTTCCACAAGTGTGGCCCGAGAATCGACTCATGTGGAACCCCGCATGTTACAGTCTGATATCTTTACTTACCAAATTCAACCGTTCGGTCGCACAAGTAATCACGGATAATTTCCAAAAGATACACTGGTACTTTTTTTCTACACAGTGCTCTTTCGATTTTGTTCCAACTTGCCGAATTGAATGCATTAGTTACGTCTAGGGCCACTACCGCACAGAGCCTCCTCCGACGCCACGGTCCCTCCCTCGGCTGCTTGCTTTACAATTTCGGAGACTTTTGTAATAGCATCAATTTTAGAGCAATCTTTCCGACCCATACTGGCGTTTGCTCAAGCCACTAATGCTCTCTAGGTATGCATCTAGTCGTTGATTAATGATGCGCTTGAATAGCTTGCCTACTGTGTTAAGGAGATATATGGGTCAATATGACGATGGCTGCTAGAACGGTTTGTCTCCTTTCCGGAGAAGTACTAATATCGTCGTCTTCCACATCTTAGGGAAGGATCCATATTTTAGGCACAGGTTGAATATTCCCCTTAAAATCTTTGGCTCCTTCGCCGCTATTTCTTTTACAATCATGTACGGTATTCCGTTTTAGACGGCCACTTTATGACCACTTCCCGAGAAAACAAAGCATTTACTATAGATTCCAGTCTGCCGGGAAGTGTAAGTCCAGAAATTGTTCTTCTTCCCATTAGTTTTTTGGTCACAATTTTATATGGTAACCCCCACGAATCTGTTTCTACCTGATTACATAGGTTATCCCAGCTCTTTTTTTTGCTTTACTTTATTTCCTTGATTCCTTATATTCCAAAAGTTTTAATTCTCTTTGTGTTAAGGTCTTATAACGGCAACTCCTTTTGTATTTTCTTCTAACTTCTAAGCATGCTGTTCTTAAGTTCGTAATATCCTGCTTCCACCAGAAAACAGGATTTTTTCTCTACTATTTGCCTTTAGGCATGCAGATATTAAAAACTCTTGGAGCTTTGTCGGATTATATCTTCTCCAGGCTTTCCCCATGACCATGGTGACTTGGTTATGTCTGGCTCAACATAACACTAAATGTTATATATTGGTGCAGGCTACCTGTATAGTCACCTAGAACTTTCCAGTCTATGACTGGTTGCCTAATTTTTTTCAAAACAAAAGTTACTTTGATATGTGACTGCGTCAACCTACCATCTCTGTATATCCGCACGAACGTTAATCTGTCACCATTATTGCATATCGTTAGGTTAAGAGATGACGTAAAATCCACTAAAGCTTGTCTTTTCATATCCTCTCTGGGATCGCCCTTTATCTGCATGCTGCGTTGTCTCGATCTGACTGGGAATCGACTCCTTTAAATCAACTAGTTCTGCTACTTTTGTCACGTTTTATCGGTCATTTAGAGTGTTCGTCCGAATGGTTTACAACTTGGGTGAATCACAGCAACACTATGTATACGTAACACATTTGGCAATCTACATATAGTCTTAATGTGATATGTAGAATAGCACGTGCCGTAAAAGCACAGAATGGTAGAAGTAATCTTTCCCCGATATATATTTACTGTCCATGTATCGGGAGATAAGATAGCGCGCGAAGATAGCAATAGTAAATTACCGATTTAGCCAGCTGAGCCGTCGTACTGGCAGTGTAAAGATAGCAATTTAAATGTGCCTCCGAGGGAAGAATTTTAGTCAGTCTGACTCAAAATAGACGAAAGCTCGATGGCGCACTTTTTACCCGTTTTTTTGGGGTTTCGAGAAAAACGAATCAGAATACAGTGTCTACTTTAAAAGCGTTAAACAACACCACAACACATAAACACATCCACCTACCTCGGATGCACGTACACATATATTATATTATATTGTTATTATTATATATTATATTAATCATCCATTTCTAAGATTTGTAGTTTTGTAATTATACAATATTTTTTTCTTAAACTGACAAAAAAAAAAAAAAAAAAA